TGTGACTTAAGTCAGTTCTTTTTTAAAAGGTCTTATAAGCTGCTTCTACTTGTATTTATTCCTGGAAATTAGAGATTTTGCCAAATTATGTTCTTGTAAATTCAGTACAAGATTATAAAACTGGGAATTGCTCCCTCCAACAACTACATACTTTTAGCCGGTGATGCAACCCTTCTCTACGGTTGTGCGTACTAGAAAAGGTTTCTATTTCCCAGCAGAATATTTCACGTTATGATTATTTATTTATTTATTTATTTATTTGTTACAGTCTTGCGACTTAGAAGTACAGATAGGTATTTTTAATATATAACAAAGTATGCGTATATGTAAGTTTAAATTTTCAATTACAAAGCTGTTTATGTTTCTAAAACTATCAAATAACCTATATAAATGTATATTGTCTAACTAGTTTGGTAGCTGGCGAGGCCTAGTCTCCAGTCTACCTTTAAATATGTACTATGTGCAGCAGGCGGAAAGACCTTGTTTCCGCTCCGCGTTGCTCACCAGTAATAAAAGTTTTGTCAAACTAATTAAAAATATTGAACATCAAAATTCTGTATTAAAATACAATGTAATCAATGTTAAATAAGACATGTCACTACTTAAAAAAAATGGGCACTTTTCAAAGTACTGACACGTCCTATTTAACATTGTTTACACTATAATTTAAAACTGAAATTTTTAATCCAGTATTTTGAAAAGCAGAATTTTCAAAAGGCAACATTTGAGAAGCAAAAGATTCAAAAGTTCTTCGGTAAGGGCGATTCAAATTTTTTGACAGTTTCGTGGAAAACTTAGTTTTGTACATATTTATAATTAGAAAAAATTTATTTGAACGGAAAAATCGCTCCTAAAATCGCTTTCCTAAATTTGTATGCGCAAATATCCAAAAAAATCTACTAGAATCGCCAAATCTGGACACTCTGATGTGTAATGTACGCGGCGTGTCTGCATTCCTTTCACTTCTCATGCATAAATTTTGAGCAGTAGCAAATGGTAATTTTGGATGGATTTCACTCTTTAAGGCAAAATTGTGTGCGTTTGAGTGAAAGTGCGAAAATGAGAAATTTTCGACAGCTTTTTACAACAAACATGTATATGGCAACGTTTCGCACTTTTAGTTTCGCACAAACGCGTAGTTGCAACCTTGACTGAAATGCAACGAGCGAGAAAACTGAGCTGTGCTGTTCGTACATCGCTTCGGAAGGTAAAACGACAGCACAAAGGAAGCGCAACGAATTTTTAAGACCTCGCTGTGGCTAAACTGTTTGAAATTTCGCAGCCAAAGCAACCACGCTGTTCACGCTTTAGTGCAAAATAAAGCGCTCGGTTTTGCCTTTCGCATTTTTGCATCAAAAAGTGTACTCTAGTACTTTGTTCACGATGAACCATAAATTCGAGTTTAAAATTTTGAGTTTATGAACGACTGTCAAGTGTTCCCATTGGGGAGTTCTTAAGAATCTCAGAGTTTAATTTGACAGTTGTTTGTTTACTTTTTATTATTCACATTTGGCCTGGTCTAGAATACCAATCTTCTACTTCTTCTTATTTGACTCTGCAACCGTCTCATCGTTAAATAGTCTGCGGTATTCGCCATCGCCCACGCGTAAATGTCCGTAAATCTTTCTCTCCAAAACTCCGTAGAGCCGCTTCATCAGATGTTTTCATTGTCCCCGCCTCCGCGCCATACACCAGCACAGTGACTTATAGAGTGTGATCTTTGTGCGACGAGAGAGGACTTTACTTCTCAATTGCCTACTCAGTCCAAAGTAGCTCTTGCTGGCAAGAGTGATTCTAAGTTGGATTTCAACGCTGGCATTATTATTGGCGTTAATGCTGGTTCCCAAATAAACGAAGTCGTCTACTTTTCCAAACTTGTAACTGCCAACAGTGACGTGGGTGCCAAGACGCGTATGCTCTGACTGTTTGTGTCGCTTTGCTTCTCTATCCAATCCCGAGAAGGGAGAAGAGACGTAGCCCTTGTTTATTGTAATAAAGCAAATTTTGAAGCTTAAAATTTCCAAGCGACCCAACGAGACCATTGCTCCGTTCTACAAAAGCCACGCCAGATTCCGCAATGACAAGTAAACCGTCATTATTCTCGAAGTTTATCTTCCATTCAAACTACCTCCTAATTTTTTGTAGACATTTTGAAAAAGCTAAACCGAACGTACATACATGTACTTTACTTGAAGTAAAGTTAGAAGATCTCCAATCTCGTTGGGAAACCCTGAAACTCTCGTGCGATAATCTATATGCCGTTGATGAGAATTTCATTTCTTCAAAAATGAAAAAAAGAAGCATACATACAATTCCAGTTATGTAAAAATAGTTTCGAACTTTGCGAATCTCAAATTCTCCATCAGCATAAATCTCAAACTAACTCAGGCAACATTGGTAATACAACAATAACATATTTATCAGGAAATTCTGAATTTTAAATCGATCATATTCTCGGGAAACCCATTTTTTGAAATGCAAAATATACGTTCATAACCATCAGAGCAGAGCAGTTTTTTCACTTAACAACACTTCTATTCAGGTCGTGTATGTTTTAACCGACCTGACTGAACTCGGATAAATAGCCGAGTTTTTGTTGTTGCTTTGCGTGTATTTCGTCATTTAAGCGAGTGTTCTTTTGTAGCTCGGTTGCAAACGAATGGACCTATTAAAAGCAGCAAGTCCTCCAAGCTTTAAACCAATTGATATTTGGCTTTGTCTTTTGCGTTTACGGATTCATTATCTAATCATAAGCACCAAAACATTTTGATGAACACAGAATTTTTAACAAGAATCTGTCTAATTCGACCAGTGTGCTGTGTGTCACTTGGGGTCGATACGCGGGCTCTTACAATTAAAATAAATGTGACTAATATTTTACAGGCTGGTTGTTGTCTTCATAATACCATATATTTTCACTATAACCGAAGGAGTTGAGAAAAATTATATTTGCGATCGACCCGAGTGTCCATTCCATTGCAAGGTATTTGGTCCCAGCCATTTTTATGCCTCTTAGAGTTTTTCATAAATAGAAGAGGTGCCACCATTTCTGGACGCTTCGAAACGACCAAAGATTTTTATTAAAGGCTTTTTCATCGCAGATATTCTATTTCCCATAACCAATAAGGCAGCGATACTTTCTGGAAAAAAGTACTTTATTTATTCATTTCATATTAATTGCGCCAGGATATGAACTGACACCCCTATCCACTCGGTAATGGCGGCTGCCCGTATGAACTAAACTAAGACAAATCGCCTACATTGCATAATTTTACGCTAAAAGAGGTACATACATACGTACATATGTAAATATGTATGTTAATATGTATCTTCAACTCACCAGCGGAATGGTGAAAATGTCAAATGGCACAAAATGAATTGAAACCCTGTGTAAATGTATGTATGTACATATACTATTCATGTTTTACATAGGTATATTTATACAAACTACTTATGTATTAGGGTGTTCGATTATTCGGTTTTATTCCAACCCCGGTTTTCGAGTTTTTCGAAAAGTTTCAATGTAAAAAAAACCGGTTCCCGGTGTGAAACTAAGAAAAAACCGGTCAAACCGATTTTATTTTCATACAGTGACAATGCTTATGTTGGTATGAAGACATGGCCAAAGAAATAAAACTATTAACAGTAAAAGTACTTTTTATTTTTCGACCTTTTCGGATTTGTGTAGTGTCTACTGCCACTCGGGAGGCCCGTGGATCAATTTCTGGTTTCAGCAACATCAATAAAAGTTGTTGTTTTTTTTTAAAGACAATGGTAAACCTCCGAGTCTACTTCTGCCAAAAAAAGCTTCTTCGCAGGTGGAACTAGAGTATAGATCTCTCCATTTGTGCGACAACATCAAGAAGCAGAAAACGAATTGAAGGAAAAGCTCGCCCGAACGTCTAGAAAACGTTTAAGCGCCAAACATTCATTTATTGGAATCAAATATGATGTACTGATGTTGCGACCAAATAACCTAGGATATAATTTTAAAACTAAATATTAAGAGGTTTTCCTTTAACTGGAAAAAACATTGAAAACTTCGAAAAACTCGAAACTTTTACTGCGAGGTAGAAATTAGTTTGAAATGAAAAAAACCCGTTTGTTGGATAAAAAATCCGGTTCATTCGAAATTTGAAAAATTAAAATTTCAGAAAAAGCGCTTAAAGATATCCATAAATACCGGTGAAAACTGGTTTGAAAGAACCGAGTCAACCACCCTAATATGTATAAAGATATAAATCTAACTGAGAATAACCAAAATTTAGTATTCATGGACACACATAAATTATGGTAACGAGACCATGGGGCGTCAGCTGGCAGACAACATCAATTGACCTTCTAGACAGTTACGATTGTCATTCATGGCAAAATCACAAGCAACAATAAATAACGATGCTTACAGGTGTGTATATGTACAATGTCATGTGAATAACGAAAGGAAGATAAATGTTAAATAGCGTTTACTCGTACATTTTGCTGCCGAATTTTGCTTATACTTAAACGATTGTATGTATATGTAAGTAGTACAAAAACATTCATTTGGATTTACATACATATATGCATATTTGTAAAACACGGCGAAGCATCCCAACAAGCAAAATAAACTTAAAGAAAGTTTTTTTTTAAGTTTTCAATTATAAACATTAAGCTTACAAAACGTTGATTTTTTGTTTATAAAACGCTTGAAAGTAAGCGTAATATAATCGAAAAGGAACATCGGTTATAAGCATAGAAATATAAACTTGTAATAAATGTTCAAAAGAAAGCTTTTTATAAGCCTAAAAGTGTAAACTTATAATAAAGGTTCAAGAAAAGTTGTTTATAAGCGTATGAATATAAACTTACTAAAAATTTTCAAAAGAAAGCTTTTTATAAACACTTTTATAACCCTTTATTT